TATCAGAACATAAGAATTTAGATAAGGTTGACCCCGAGAAGATAAGTAATTCAGAAAAAAAACTCAGCACTACATTGCACAGCATGCATTAGCACACAACCGCACAATAGGGTGAGTGGGACAGAGTCAAAATTCTAAAAAGTAATACAGGTAGGTGGAGAGAGAGATTGATCACTGAGTCCTGCCTGGTTCATCGGTCCTATACCCAACACTTGCCACCGAAAGGATTCAATACGAATACCAGAGATATGCATGGAAGATATTATTACCACCAGTCAGTCAAATCAGGGGAGGATATTAAATAATCTTAAAATTCTATTTCACTTCACGTACATTATCACATTCTAAAAAGTTACTTATTTTGACTATAAAAACATCTTATTTCCCATTCGATTGTATTTGATTGATAACACTAATTTTGATTGGACACTAGTGTGATGCATGTAGTCCTTTCTTAGGTGCAGACTGAATTCTACCAGTCAGGTTTTCAATGTGGCCACCATTCTAGGCAGCTCACCATCACGGTGTACATTGACTTGATGATATTGGATGGTTGATAACACTAATATATTATTATTATTATTTCTAAATGTACATTATCTTGTACATATTGATTTTATTCAAATCTGTAGTCAGTTTCACTCATGTATTATATAAATGAAGTCTGTCTGTCTGTCTATTTTCGACATAGAACTTTGCACAAATGTGCGGAAGTTCAAGTCGCCACATTCCGTGTAGCACGCGAAGCAAGAGAAGAAAGTACAAGAAAAGCATAATAGAAACAGTGAGCAGAGGTGTGAGACAAAGGAGTAATAAAGAAATACAAAACAGTTTCATTGGAGATCATAAGTCACAGGGAGTGGATGCATCTGCGCCACTGAGAACGATTTTGAGCCATGTCACCAATTGTTTCCAACCATAGATTTTTACCGTCCCGAGGACCCCAACCAGGAAGTCTACACCTTCCTACGTGGCTTAGACTAACTGTTGTAGATTTCATTGACTGATGCCAAGTTTTTGTTTGACCGCCGCTAGCTTTTTTCCAGCCTGACCCTATATCCGCTAACATTGCTCGTCGAGGGAGGCGATGACTTGGCATACGTAACACATGTCCTAACCATCTCAGTCTTTGTAGCTTCACGACTTCGTCGATTGATTTCCCCTGTTTACCTAGAACTCTACGCCTAACCTCAATGTTGCTCACCTTATTATGCCACTTTACACGGGAAATAGAACGCAGGCACCTATGATCAAAGACAGCTAGTCTTTTCATGTCTTCCACTCTCAGTGGCCAGGTCTCACAGCCATAAAGGAGGACGGAGCGGACTGATGAGCAGTACACCCGCCCTTTGGTCGATAGTCGAACATCTCGTCTACGCCAGAGTCGGCGTAAACTGGCAAATGCGAAACGAGCCCCCTGTATTCGTGCTGAGATTTCGTCAGAGATCAACCCGTTGGGGCTGATGGTACTTCCCAAATAAGTGAAGCGGTCAACGTGCTCTACCACTTCACTTCCTATTTCTAAACTAGGAGTCAGTGTAGTCCAGTCCTGTAACATCATCTTGCATTTGGCGGGAGCGAATCGCATGCCAAACATTCGTAGATTGCGGCTCAAGGTGTTTAGAAGACTCTGCATTTCGTCAGCGTCTTCGCCTAGAAGGACTATATCGTCTGCATATTCCAAGTCAACGAGATTATTCCCTGGTAGCAAGTCAATCCCTGAGTCGCTGAAGTCACTTAGGGTTAAGTCCATTAACACATCTATGATGAAGTTGAATAGAAAAGGAGATAATGGGCATCCTTGACGGACACCACTGGTCGTCATCAGTTCAGATGACAGCTCGCCGTAAGCCCTCACCTGGCTGTATGAGTACGAGTAGAGTGCCTTAATCAGTGCAATATATTTTCTCGGAATTCCCTTTACAGCCAAGCATCTCCAGAGAACTTCCCGATCGACAGAGTCGAATGCTGCCTTTAGGTCAAGAAATATAATGACTGTTGGACGCCGGTAGGAATGCCTATGTTCTAGAATCTGTCGGAGGGTGAAGATATGATCAATACACCCTCTTCCTGGTCTAAAGCCTGCCTGGCTCTCTCGTGTTTGTGCTTCCCGAGCACCACTCAGTCTACGCATGATTATTGAGCCTAAGACTTTAGATACTATATTAGTCAAGCTAATCCCTCTGTGATTATCACAGGAAGACTTGTCTCCCTTCTTGTATATGGGGATAATCAGTGACTTACACCAACCCGATGGGACTTCTTCTGATTCCCAGACGCTGCCTAGTACCTCAGTTAATCCGGACAGTAAGCTGTCTCCACCGTACTTAAATACCTCTGGAGTCATTCCATCAGGTCCCGCTGCTTTGCCTAGTTTCAGATTGGTGACAGCTTTAGTAACCTCAGTTAGTGACGGAGGACCTGTGTCTATATCCCATTCAGGGAGGTGTTGGATGCTCGGAAGGTTGAGCGTGGCTGTGGGCAAATTAAACTGCTCCTCATAATGCTCTTTCCAACGATCCAGTCGTCTATCCTGGGAGCTAATTATAGTGCCATTTTTTTCCGAGATTGTCTCACTAATGATTTGTCTTCTCCCACCCGTTTCCCTGATGAGTCCAAAGAGTTGCCTGGTGTTGCCTATCCTCGAAGCTTTCTCCATCTCTTTGGCTTTTGTCGCCCACCACTGTTCACGGTCCTTGCGGAGACTTTTCGTAAGTTTCCTCTTGTGCAGCTTTCGCTCCTCATTGAATTCGGAGCTCGCCGGAATAAGTCTTCTAGCATCTATCAGTTCGGATGAGGCGGTGGAGATCCAGTGGTTTTTACTCACCTTTGGGTTTACCTTATTCACAGCTTTTACAGCTGTATCTATGGCTGCCTGGATATTTTTCCAAGCTTCTTCAGGGTGAGCACAGCTGTCGAACACAGATATGTGTTTAGCTAGTTCTTCCTCAAATACGGATTTAGTTTCCTGATCGAGCTGGGGACGTGATGGTTTTACCGCCAGCTGTTTCCTACGTCCGTTCAGTCGTAAGCACACCCGAGCGCGGACCAGTGCATGGTCGGTATCTACGCACGTGTTCCAGAAGGAGCGACAATCTCCTACCGACCCACGCCAACGATAGCTTATTGCTATGTGGTCTATTTGTGTCCAGCGTTGGTTTGATGAAGGGGGTCTCCAAGTCAAACAGTGTCTCTCCTTGTGTTTAAAGTTAGTGCTTACAAGAAACAAATGATTATCAGAGCAGAACTGTAGGAGACGGTCACCGTTGTCGGTTCGCTGGCACGGAGCTCCATAGGTGCCACCGACATCCTTCTCAGATTGACACAATTTCCCTACTTGAGCGTTAAAGTCACCAGCTAGAACGACTATGTCTGAGCGTTTAGCCTTTCGCACCAAACTAGACAGCTTTTGGTAGAACTCATCCTTCGTTTCATCTGAACTGCAGTCAGTGGGGGCGTAGGCGGAGATTACGAAAAGGCATCGGCGAGTAGTGCAGTCCTTCCTCCTTCTTACTGATCCGTTCAGGCGGACAGCACACATTCGGCTATCTACCGGGATCCAGTCAAGCAATGTCTTTTCTGCCCTAGTACTCAAAGCTATCCCTACGCCAGCTAATCCTCGTGAACTAGCTGTGGCATCTCCTGACACCCTCAAGGTGAATTTTGCAGATTCAACCTGTTGGCCAGGTGGGGTTAGGTGAATAACCACACTTGGGTCTTGTATGCGTGTTTCTGAAACACAGCATACATCAATGGCTCGTGATGCCAGGGTCTTGGCTAGTGATGCTTGTTGTCCTATTTGGCAAAGTGTCCTAACATTAAGAGCTCCTATATGAAATTGGTGGCGCGGCTTTAAGAGGCTGTCGGTGGTGGTTTTTTGGCTTCCATCGTTTTTAGTGGACGCAGAGTGGAGAGGAAGTGGAGAGCTATCAAGTCGAGGAGTTGCATCAGTGGAAGGAAGGCAAGATGATAGAGATGAAGATGAAGACAAAGATGAGTGAGTAATAGAGAGGTTTCGTGTGCATTTCGGATTGTGAGGGCGATTGTTACTTCCCGGCTGCCCACACCGTGGAAGTTGGTTGCGTGACCGCAGAGCCCAGGGGACAACTGCTTGAGGCCGGTCACACGCGGCCTGTTTTTGTTCGTTCTTTTTGTTTGGTGTGTCTCAGTAGCAGATTTATCACTCCTGCCCTGTGACACGGCAGCAGGAAGCGCGGTCGTTGTTAATCCGGGCCACGGCCGATCCGGCATGAAATTTTGTGATTTTGTATTGGACATGATGTTGGATTGGGTAGCTGCTTTTTGTTTAACCGCTATCCAAACAACCTGCCTGGCATGGTAGGACCTCAAGAGACATAAGTCTCAGCCAGTATAGCTTGATTAGGTCATTGCGGTGTTCAAGCCCGACCACCACGTCAAGGTAGCAGCTTTCGGTCGGGACAGCTTTCGGTCGGGTAGAAAGTAGAAAGTTATGTAAGTAGTGCCTCGATATGATTCTGAGGGGCAATAAATTGTGCTGGAAATGTGGTCATCAGTAAATATTACTGTATAACAACACTGTGTGATTTATCAGAATAAAATCTTATCCATAATGGAGTTATACTCTACCACCACAGTGCCCAAGTTTTATACCTACCTATGTCAATACCGCTGATTATTTCCCCTGTTGTTAGCAGTAAATAGGTCAACACTGTCAAATTTTCTACTATGACAACAAATCGAATTATTATTAATCCATCTTTAGTGTTAAGTATTTTGATTGCATTACACATTTAATCTATAGTTCTATATAACAAAATTGTGTCATAAAATACTTTGGTTTTATGATTACTATCAAAATTTTGATTCCAATCGATTTAACTGCCTATCATTTGTCAGGGTCTTACAATATTCAAAAAGGACATATATATGTATAAATACCCTGTAAGCTGAACTCTTCTCTCTGTGTGTGTGTGCGTGTTGCTTTATGTGAATTCATCAAAATATATACAGAAAACCAGATGACAAGTTTACATGTTAGTGAAATTCCATCGGAGTCATTTTTATCTGTATTGTATTCTTATAGATACCTTTGGTTGTTATTTCTATACTGTATTATGCTCAACCTGGAGGTTAGTCATTCATTTATAAAATTAAATATATTTCATTCATTATCATTACATATGAACTCTGATCAAGATTTGACTGGATAGTTAAAAAATAATTGAGCACTGAGTAAGAAGTAGACATTTATAAAGTTATATTTGTAAAATCTCAGCGAAATTGAAATGATTACTTCTAACGTTTCCTGCATTCGACAATCTGGTCTGAACTTCTTCAGGGGAATTAATCGAAATTAACATAACAGAGGTTTATAATATAAAAGGGACACCTCTTGTTTTTAAAATTTTGTCCAATCATGAGCCATGCAACAGGTATCAATAGGTATAACTATTGATAGATGTTTCTTGATTAATTTATATATAAACATACAATTCTATTTATTTATTACACATGTTGATACCTATTGCATGGCTCATGATTGGACAAAATTTAAAAAACAAGAGGTGTCCCTTTTATATTATAAACCTCTGTTATGTTAATTTCGATTAATTTCCCTGAAGAAGTTCAGACCAGATTGCCGAACACAGGAAACATTGGAATTAATCATTTCAATTTCGCTGATATTTTACAAATATAACTTTATAAATTATCATTACAGTTATCCACTAATAATAAATTGATCGTTTTAATATTATTCATCTTCGTTTTTGCAGAATCATTCATTATCGGCTTGGGCATCGGTGGTATGGCTAGAGTTGGTATCAGTACAGGTGTAATTGTTGGTGGTGGCGGTTATCGTGGGATTCGTACCTATGTACCTAGACGTCGAAGACTTGGTATCAGTATAAAAGGTGTGCATACAATTGGAGGTGGTGGTGGCGGCGGTATTAGCGTTAGTAGTGGTGGTGGTGGTGGTGAAATTAGCGGAAGTGTACGAAAACGAACTATACGACGTACAGCAAGAGAAGAAGAAGAACAACAGCAACCTGAAGCAGATAGTTATGAAAGGATAGTTAAAAAGAAAAAGGTTATTACACGTGAAGTTGAAGAACCCAGTGCACCAGTGGAAACTAAAACAAGAAGACGAATTGTTAAAAAAAGTTCTGATGAAGATGATTTGGGCGAAGAGAAGAGTTCAAGTGTGAAGAGGACACGAACAGTGAAGAAACGAACAATAGTTGATGAAGATGATGAATTTGGTGATTTTGAAGATTGGTAATCCCCGTGTCATCTGGATATGCCTAAACACTTTTGAAATAATTCTTTTATTTAATTATTATATTTCTAATTGATGATATATGGAAGACAGAACTGTTTAACTACACACCTCTGTTTATGTTCAGATTTTTGTAATAAACATTTTTGCTTCCTTTTTTGTTTAGTTCATTTTCTCACTGATATTTATGTGTCAATGTTGAGGTGTAAAAGACGTTTTCCCTGATGCATATAGAAATATATTCTAAGTTTATCCAACACAGTTAGTTATATTATATATGTCTAAACCAGTGCGTCGGTGGCATAGTGGTTAGGACGCTCGCTGATCATGCATATGGTCCGGGGGTTCGATCCCCGGCCGGCGCACTCCTTTACCTCACTCAGCCAGAAGTAAACCTGATGAAGAGGAAAGGTTGGGCATGAGGCTAGCAACCCCATCCTGTAAAAATAATAATCACTACTGCTACAGAAACTTCAAGCCTCTAGCTTGAAGCCCTATGTTCCATTGGGAACGTGAAGGATATATATATATATATATATATATATATATATATATATATATGTCTAAACCAAGTTCACTCTCAACAATCCGAAAAAAACCCATTTATTATTATTATTATTATTTCATTTAATTCCCCTAGAGAAACATAGGTTTTCAGCCACACGTCTCCATTGCATCCGGTTCTCTGCCAACGTTTCCACCTGGCTTCACTTCTACCCACATGCTTTCATCTCCTCTTCACATGATCCCCTCATCCATGTCACCCACTCACTGATAACCGACTAGCCGCTTCCCGTTTGGGTTCCACTCGAGCGCTGGCCTGTCGTGTGATGTCACTCACTTGATGGTTTGTTTTCTCAGAGTATGGCCAACCCACCTCCATTTCTTCCTGCTTATTTGTTGTACAATCGGTTCCTGGTTGGTTGGTTTGCTCCCAGAGATACCCGTTTCTGATCTCTTCTGGTCACCCGTCTGATCTTGAGTTGTATTGAACGAAGACAGTTGTTGATGAAGGTCTGTAGTTTGTTTGAAGTGGTCTTCATGACGCGCCAAGTCTCTGATCCGTATAGCAGGTAGCTCTGACTTCACATTGGAGTTGAAAATCCGGATCTTATTTTCATTTTCATACTGAGTACTGTTGATCTCCACACAGACTTGAGAGTAATGAAAGCTTGTCTTGGTTTCCCGATCCTTGCTTTAATATCCTTGTCAGTTCTGTCCGCGTGTAGTTGAAACGATGCTTCACACGTCGGTTGGTAGGTGGGTAAAGGAGGTTGTTTCTTTCAGGTTCCTCCCATTTATACACGCTGATTGTTGTCTGTTGTTGTTGCTGTTGGTGTTGCCCAGGAATCTTCATCACCTCTGTTTTATCTATGTTCACCTGAAGTCCTATCTTTGATGCTTCCTGTGCCAACTTGTTGCTTTTCCCTTGCATATCTTCCAGTTTGTGGGATGTCTAATGTCTTCGCTCTACATTTGGGCTGACAAATGTTTAGGTTCATGTTTTTGGAATACGTTTTCGACCATACTTAATGTCTGTGTTGATTTTGTTGATGAAGTTCCTTGGGTAGTTGTTTTGCTTGAGAGTCTCAGTAATGTTTGATATTTCTTCTTCTTTTTCTTGCTCATCCGTTATTAGAGATACTGCTATCTTTGCATTAATAGGGTTTGATGATCCGAGATCTAAATATTTGTTAGTGTGTTTTCTTCCTGAACATAGACATATTAAAATATCCGTTTACCCTCCTCCTAACTAGGCAGTCTAGAAATGGTAGTTCGCTGACGTCTCATTCTGTTTCCGAAGTAAACTAGATGCTGGGAGATAGATTGTTAAGTTTCTCCAAGAATGAATTGTGTAGATTTCGTCTTAACAAAACGAAAGTATTATCAACGTATCTTAACTATATTTTAGACATGAGTATAGTTGAAAAGATCAGAAACTATTGGAGAAACTGGTGAATTCATAGCAACACCATTTGTCTGTCTACATAAATTCCTTTTAAATGTTAAATAATTAGTTTCCATACTGAATCTTAAGCTTCTTATCTAGTATGTACTCGTCGCCAAATTATTGTTATGTACTGATCGAGAATTTAATAGTCTTGACGCAAGAAAGACAGAAATCAGAAGACCACTAGGTTTGCGATGATACCTCTATTTCCCAAAACACAAGGAGAATCAATGTCACACAAGAGTGTGAGAGCAAAAATATATGAATGTCCGAACAAGTGTGTGAACACAAGTGTGAGGGCAAATATTCAAAATGAACAAATCAATACACAGTCTTAACATGATTGGCTAATTATAATGGAATATCGATCCATATATACATAGCAAAATATATCAGACTGTCGAACAAACACAAAGTATATGGATATATATATGATTATCATCATGTCCACTGGTGTCCAGTGGACATCTTTGTGATAGGGTTGTGTCTGATTCTAGTAAACTAAAAATGATATCAAGACTTTTGGTAATGGGAATGCTGGTAAATAGTGAGTTAATGCCATAACTTATCTTAATATCTTTATTAATTTTCTGGCTTTCTATTTTGGATTTGGAATCACATGAATCTTTTACAGAATTTTGAGTGTTCTTTTGGAGTGGTCTCAGTATCGACGGTAAGTATTTGGAGAGAATGTAAGTCAGTGAGTTGGTAAAATCTATTATTGGTCTTATTGGGACTGTAGGTTTGTGTATCCTTAGTTGACTATAGAATCTTCAGAGGATACATAGGACTTCTGTTTTGTTCTAAATCAAAGAGAATCTCCACTTTTTGGTATTTAGTTCTTAAAAGAATCTGTTGGCATTCAGTTTCATTCTATTGACTTCGGTGGATAAGTGTTCAATCGCCTTCTATTCAAAATCACTTCTTTTCATTACTACGGTGATGTTCCCCTTGTCGGCTTTAGTTATAACAATGTTTCTGTAGTTTTTCAAATTCTTTTGGGCTTCATATTATTGTCTAGTGGGATTAGACGGTATGTTCCGTTGTGTCATCATCTTGGTTAGTGGTTAAGTGTAATTCATGAAATTATATAATAGGCAAGACAAGCTTTCATTACTCTCAAGTTTGTGTGGAGGTCAACAGCACCCAGCATCAAAAATAAGATCCGGATTTTCAACTGCAATGTGAAGTTAGTGCTAATTTATGGATCAGAGACTTGGCGCCATGTCACGAAGGGCACTTTGAACAAACTATAGAACTTCATCAACAGCTGTCTTCGCTCTATGTTACTCAAGATCAAATGGCCAGAAAAGTTGATCATCAGGGATCTCTGCGAGCAAACGAACCAACCAAGAACCGATTGTACAACAAATGAACAGGAAGAAATGGAGGTGGGTTGGCCATACTCTGAGAAAACAAACCATCAAGTGAGTGACATCACACGACAGGCCATCGCTTGAATGGAACCCAAACGGGAAGCGGCTAGTCGGTTATCAGTGAGTGGGTGACATGGATGAGGGGTCATGTGAAGAGGAGATGAAAGCATGTGGGCAGACGTGAAGCCAGGCCGAAACGTTGGCAGAGAACCGAAGGCAATGAAGAGACGTTCGGCTGAAGCCCTATTTTCCTCTAGAGAAATTAAAGGAAACAATAATAATAATAATATAATAAGACAGCCATTCATTGTGATGAGTGAAGAAAAAATTTTGTGTTTAAAAGTTTCTAAACATAAATGGCGAAATGCTTTCCAATTGCCTGATTAAGAGATATTTTGACGAACATACTTTACAGATACTTTGGAGTAGAGAATGCTTCAAAATATTATGATTAATGATTGTTTTACAACAACATTAAGAATGACTGATATAATTGGTACGTAACAATATTTTGTTCCTATACTAATGTAAGTCATTAAGTTGTTTAATACTTTTAAAGATGACATGCACAACTTATCAGATAATGTGCATACTCACCAGCTTTCCAGCTCAGGACTTTCGGCTTAAAAGACAATCTCACAGATGATTCATCCGCTGGAACTCGACTCAGTGGCATAGGAATTTCAACTTCTAGTAATTCATGATTCCAGCTCCACCACCAGCCAAAGTCATCCACGAATATTTGCCTTATTCATTAGTGGGTAGATCTCATTGGTCATGATTTGTTACCAGACCTGAAGAGAACTTCGTCACTAGCAAGCACCAGAGTAATTTTCAACATTTAGTTCGTAAGAACTTGATTCATTTAATGTTTGATCATGGAAAACTATTGGAAACCAGCTGGGAGTAATGTACAGCTGTTTCGTCTCACTTTGAGGCTCATCAACAGAACGCCCTCATCGGATTTTGAAAATGCTTTCATTTCACTAATTAATGATAAAGCTGTGAATTTCTTGAAATTCGAAGTAGCCTGCTTTTCTCCAACTCTGCATACACCTTGATGAACAACCCTAAAAGGCAGTTTATTTGGAACAATGCGAGTTTCTTGTCATGCTGCTATCGCTATCATATAAAGAATGATATTGTAATTTCCAAGCATTTAGGATAGTGACCATAGGAGATTGTTTCATTTCGCTAAACAAATACGCGCACCATTATCTGGTGACTAATTTATGTTCATGAATAATCCTCATTCAGGCATTAATGCAAACAAAACAAGTAGTTCAGTAAAGAGGCTATTATTTGGTGAATTCATTTTCATCCTAGTTTAGGAATCATCGACACTACACACCCACACCACAGGGGATTCGAACCCAAGACCTTCCGGTTACGAGGCAAGTTAACTCGTATGCCATTCAGTGACTAGGACCCGAGCCATTAATGACCAGCACATGAATTCTAACTTCTACCACTTCGTGATTTAGCCCGACCACCACCAACATCCATCTTCACGCTTGACTAGATGAACCTCACTGGTCACTACTTCTCACCAGATCTCCAGGAAACTCCGTCCTATAACAAGTCACTAGCGAGCATCAGATTAATTTTCAAGAGTTGGTTTGTAATGAATATATCTGTTTTTTTACGACTTTGACCACGGATTGATATCCATTAGAGAACCATTGAAAACCAGCTGGGAGTACTGGAGAGCTGTTTCATCCTACTTTGGGAATCATCGGTATTACGAGCTTGAAATGTAACCGGAAGACCCTGGGTTCGA